AATTAAAACCATTGGCGTGCGGCTCTTCTGTCATAAAAAAATCAATTTATTGTTAGGAGTGCGTATGGCCCTTTAAGAAATGTAACAGGCTTAAGTGGAGCGAGTGAGAGAGAGAGGAGTGCGCACAGGCAGGTGTGGAGTTCAGGAGGAATGCAGGACAGCGCGGTGGCGATATCACAACAACAAAAAATGTCAGGGAAGAAATGCGTGTCTTTGTGTGTGCGTGTGTGGAGAGAGTATGAGAGAGGGAGAGACTGTGTGTGGATGTGTGTGGAGTAGTGTTGCAAGGTATACTGGTACCAACGGTAGACCGCAGTAGGCTGCTACTTAAACACCACGGTACATGACACGGTGCCACTACTGTGGGATAAGTTCAAAGTCCAGTCAAAGGAGGGTGAGTGTCCATGCGCTGGCCAATAACAGCCATAGTGTTCCGCGGCGCAAGATAACGGCTTACCGGCGACTGAGAAGCACGGCTCCAGGTGAATAAATTGGCGTCATGACTGCCCAGAAATACCTGAACAGCCGAGCCGTGGCAGCACACAGGTATGTGGCGTGTCAGAGGAGAAACAAGCCGTTCACATTTCGCTTTGCGGCAGGTAACGGTCCACAAACCTCACCGCACTTTAGGGACTGTTCTTTACTTATGAAGGGACTTGTGAGGGGAGGAGGGTGGCTGGTTGATTTTTATTTTATTTATTTATTTTATTTTGATCCCCCCCTATGTTAATCACTTATTGATGCTGTTTTTGAAGTATGAATAAGTCAATAAGTAATTTATTCCATTGAAATATCATTGATGTATTATAGAAAAGTGATTTATCTTTTTATAAATGACAAAAGGCACATCTGCCTCATCTTTGCTGTGGTATCATGATACTACTCAGAACCGTGATACTTTCACTGGTATCGTACAGTGGGTCCCAATTTTGGTACCATGACAACACTAATCTGGAGAGAGTATGAGAGTGGGAGAGACTGTGTGGATGTGTGTGGAGAGAGTGGGAGAGGGAGAGACTGTGGGTGTGGAGGGGGGACGGAGAAAGACAGTATGAGAGGGAGAGACTGTGTTTGTGTATATCTCTATTCATGCTTATTCATTTGTGTGTGAGATAAATAAATCTGGCTTTGAAAATTGGAAATGTATGGATTTTGATTTTATGTCATTTAGTGTTTGTGTGAGAGAGGGAGTGCGTTTGTAAGCACACGTGTATGATGTGGCTCTTTGTAGTACCACGGTAATTTGTGTGGCTCTTGGTCTCTGTCTGGTTGGCCACCCCTGCTCTAGAGGGTGGTGCCATCTACAGCCTGTACCAGCAGGAGGCATGATAATGAAACACTATTGAGATGTCACTACTTAGCTAGACCTAAATACACTCCTGCCAGTACTAGTACTAGTACTATAATGTTATATATGGTGTGTCAGTCACTGGAGCTACTTTTCTGTAGATGATGTACTTTTATTCTGATACTTTAAGTAAATTATGTTGAGATTACTTCTGTAGTTTTAGAATTTTAAATACAGGACTTTTTTACGTTGTGACATTGGTGCATTTATTAAAGTTCTCGCTTGTGCAGATGTGTATTCTCTAACTAATAAAATGCCATTACATTCTTCAGGGAAGGATACTAATGCTTTTTTTTCCTAAAGCATCTTTTGTTTTAGTTGTCAAAATAAAAGCACATTAATGGCCCCAAGGACGGAAAGGTAAAACCTGACAACTTCCTGTGTTGCACATTCTTACCAGGTTGCCAGTGGGATGATTCTGGTCATGGCCTTCTTCCTCATTACATACACCTTCCACTCTACCTGGGTGACCAGCGAAGCCTACTCCTCTCCCTCAATTGTCTTGTCAGCCCGTGGAGGTGACGGCAGCCGCATCATCTTCGATGACTTCAGAGAGGCGTACTATTGGCTCCGCCACAACACTCCTGAGGTCAGTCATAAGAAGAAATAAAGAATAGTTAAATCAGTTGAGAGCTCTTAACAGGCTTATTGATTGTTGTTGTGAGTCATGCACCATCGTAGGGCTTCCTTTCAATGATTCGAGTTTTGTTTTGTGTATGCAGGATGCCAAAGTCATGTCGTGGTGGGATTATGGCTATCAGATAACTGCAATGGCTAATCGAACAATTCTAGTGGACAACAACACGTGGAACAACACGCACATCTCCAGAGTTGGACAGGTGAGCTGGTTAAGCGTTAGGGATGCACAATGTTGGATTTTTTGCCGATATGCTGATATGTAACAATATGTAACAACCAATACTGATGACATGCCGATATTATCGTGCATCCCTATTCAGGGTAATTGTGTTTCTAAAGTGCTGCTGTGTTGACTGGGCTGTTTGTTCCATAGGCCATGGCATCCACAGAAGAGAGGGCCTATGAGATTATGAGGGAGCTGGATGTCAGTTATGTCCTGGTCATCTTCGGAGGACTGACGGGCTACTCTTCAGACGGTACGTCCCAAGTATCAGTAGCTCTGTCAGTGCAGTACTCGCAACACTGGCTTTTAAAGCAGCTTGACATAAAAATGCACATCGACAGACACATTGGTACTTTAGGTGTAAGTTTTATGGAGCTGGATTTAATAGAGCTTTGGTTTGATGGTCTGTTTGCAAAGTTGAACTGCACAGTTAATGGAGTACTAATCTTGATCACATTTGAAATGATGGAGTGCGCTATTGACCTTTAAAACGTGTGCTCTGCTCATAAACTCGGCTGCATATCAAGTCAGGCACTTCCTAGAGTAACAGCTAGCCTCCTTTTTTGGGGAGCTGCCATGCTGCAGCATGTGAACCCTGCAGTGACAGCCTGTGAAAAACATCCCTGAATGTTGCAGCTGCAGTCCAGAGTGGAAGAGTAATATACAACAGAGGGCAGACGGGCGAAATGCAAACCAAATGTCCGGAGCAGAAGTGGAAGAGCTATTCCCCTGAAAAGGATCATCATCTGTTAATGTTAAGCGACAATAAATCATGCGCAGAGGGTGCATGGGACTTGTGTTGCTGCAAAGCAACACAGCTAACATGTTCAGCCATCTAAAAACATCACCTCACTGAATTCTGTCCTTATCCAGCACCAACTCTGACATCTATGTCAGCGACACTGTACACCTCATCCATCCAGCTTTTAAATAGACTGAAACAATAAATGCAGTCACATTCCATTTGGCCAGAGATATGCGTCTAATACATCTCAAACAGCGTTTTCATTTGCTTGCATTCTGTAATGGCATATTTATTCTCATTTTCATGTTTGTCATTGAATGTCACAGCAAAGTGAAGCAAAAAATCTTTAAAAGGGCATTTTACCACCTCTCTAACTGGTCGTTCTGTCTCCCTCAGACATCAACAAGTTTCTGTGGATGGTCCGTATTGGCGGAAGCACGGACACGGGCAAACACATCAAGGAGCACGACTACTACACTCCCACCGGAGAGTTCAGAGTGGACCGCGAGGGCTCCCCTGTACTGCTCAACTGCCTCATGTACAAGATGTGCTACTACCGCTTCGGCCAGGTCTACACAGAGGCCAGTGAGTAACTCTGCAGCCTAGTGTGATCTGTTTTTCATCATGCACCTTTACCTTGCTATCAGATGCAGATTGTGAATATAAGCGTTTTTGAAAGGGCTGTTTAGTTTAGGATGATTGATGGTGTAGTGCTTTCATTTAAATGATACTTTTAAAGCTGTTGGCAAAAGCCATGGAGCCAGACTGTGAAGATGGATGCCCAGTGCAAAAAAGACAACTGCACTGTCATGAGACAAGATATAAATAAGGAGTAATGCATAAATATTCATGCTGGTCCTCATTATTAATATGAAACAAGTCTTGTAATGTCATTCTGATGGACTCACTGACCCTTTTTGCAGAGCGCCCACCTGGTTATGACAGAGTGAGGAATGCTGAGATTGGGAACAAAGACTTTGAGCTGGATGTGTTGGAGGAGGCCTACACAACAGAGCACTGGCTGGTTAGGATATACAAGGTAAAGCCACTAACGTTTCCTCCTTACCCTGTGTTTCAACACAGCATCATCACATTTGGGAATCCCAAATTGGTTTGCTGGTCAAGCTTAGATCTGACACCATCTCTCTCTGGAGACATTTAGGAAATCACAAAGTTATGCAGCTTATTCTTTTGTGTGAATCAAAGTTGACCTTTCTAACCAAGTCTTTTTTGTTCCGCATTTCAGGTCAAAGATCTGGACAACCGGGGACTTTCGAGGACATAAAATCTTCAGATGGCGGTGGAAACAGCCTTTTAGCACACAGCACTGAACGCCTTCCCCTGTGGTCTGCAGATGAGTGGGAAAAGAGTACTTTTTATACTTTTTGTTTGGTGGAAGAAAATTGCATCAAAGAGATTTTTTTTTTTTTTGTGGATGATTTTCATTTTTTTTTATTTTGTCATAATGAAATGTCTCATCTGGGATCAGAGGGAGCTGGTGTGAAAACGTCCAGTCTGATGTCATGAGGCGCGATTTGCCATGAAGTGGTTAAAAGAAAGCAGTGTTCATTCAAGAGCGCTTTGGGTTTTTACTATGTGGTCAATTAAAGTGGGATTAAACGTGAGTTAATAGTGGTTTGTCTTTTATTTCCCTCTTGCACTGCTTCACCAAATAAATTGAGATAATTGATGCGGGAACTTTATGACGATCTAAACCAGGGGAAGGCAACATGCAGCCTCATGCTCCTCGTTAGCCTCTCTCCAGCAGCTCCCTGTGTAGCCTATACACCAAATTAAATAACATTTCGTCAACAAAAACGTGTGTCATACAACTATGGCTCAGCACAGGGTTATTAAATTACAAATTCAGTTGGGCCAGATTTTAAAACCAGAAAATGTTGATAGGCCAGACATTTTCAGCCGTGAGCAGCCTACCTCTTTAACTTTTAGTAATGGCAAATTTGAAACAAATGCAAATTAATGTAGTAAAAGTAGCAAAGTTGTAGTCAGCAATGTAGTCTGTATGATACAGATGCATTCAAGTCTCAAATAAAAGCATAAGGCAAAATTCTTTTATTGTAGTGCGTTTGGCAATAAATGTCAACTTAATGAACAGTGTTAAGGCAAAGTCCCTCCCAGTACAATAAAACAACAGTAAAAGTCTTCATTCAGATTAATAAAAAACATTTAAGAGTATCAGTATAAAGTGTCCATTAGTTCCAGTCCCATACATGTAGGATTTTTTTTAAACAACACATTTACAGAGCTCCTCACTGGCTGGGCTGGTCTGGCAAATCTTCCAGAAGTGCCTCATTTTTCCTGTAGATGTAGGCATTCGCGTCGTCGTCCAGCTTCACCAGCTCGGCCAGTGACGACACACAGGGATCATGATCGACCAGCATCGCGGGCAGGCGGGAGGATTTGCGATGGATGCGGCTGGAGCGGCGCACCGGGGTCAGAAACTTCAGGTCTTTGATGTTGCTCTTTTTCCGGGATGTGCTTGTGCTGACCTCATCTTCGATCGTCTTCTTCACACTGTTTGAAGGGGGAAAAAAAACACAATATTACAAGTGTCAAAAAAGTACTTTGTTGTAAGTTAATTCAAGGTTAAAGAAAAAAAAATGTATGGACTCACCTCTGCAGGTATGGAGTAGTCTTCACACTGTATTTTATTACTGAAGCATTCTCCATCTGTGGTGTGGTCTTCATTACACCCTCATCATCATCACTTTCCACTTCATCATCATCATCATCATCTGTCTCCACATCGTCAACACTTTCTTCTTTTTCATCCTTCACTTGCTCAACCTTTGGCTGCTCGCTAACATCCTCAGGCACTTCCTTCTTCAGCTCCTCTTCTTCACAGTCATCATTTGGTTTGTTGTCCTCCATTTCAACATCACTGCACACATCTGTCACCTGGGAAATTTCTAATGAAAATAAAGAGGGTGTTGGTGTGAGAAGTGTCAATACAGCACATTAAACGACTGCAGTTATATTGTCTGTTATTCATGTTTAAACCAGAGATGCCAGTTATCTGAGTAGATGAATACCAAAGTCGTCAGTCACTAGTGAACTTACCATCATCACATCTAGAGGGTGTCTCCATGGCCTCTAAAGCATCACACAGGTTCACGACGATCTGTCACAATGAAGCAAATAAACGTGGTTTATCAGTGCAGAAGGCAAGATTTTTGATGCAGCGAAAACAAAATTAACAGAAACGGTGCCTGTTTCCTTACATCATCCACACTGTCCTGTGGCTCAACAAGCGGATCTGTGTCAGAGTTTTCCAGCAGGTCCAGAGTGGTGTTCATGATCCCTGGAGTTTGGCTGCATGTTGGTAACTCTGCACAGTAAGCGGTGACAGAGTCTGGCATGTGTGCTTCCAGTCTGGGTTCAGGTTCAGGGTTGCGCTGTGTAGGCGGCTGCGGCTCAACACAAGGCTGTGGTTTGAGATCAGCTTCAGGTTTTGCAGAGGCTTTGGTTTTAGCGGGTTCTGTTGTCATGGCTGGTCTCTTGAAAGTTTTGCCCTTGGAGGCCATCCACTCGGCCAGTTTCGCTCTGCAGAGGGAACACAAAAGCATTTGAGCATTTCTGACGTACAGTAACACCAAGGCAAATGTATGAAGGAAAAAGTCTCACCTTCTTTCCTCTGCAGTCTCCATTGTATATCTGTACTGACTGCTGGCACTTGAGACAGGTTTGTTGACCTTCTTTTCTGTCGCTGTAGTCTTTGGCTTTGAGTCTTGAGTCCCACTTCTCTTGGTGGGATCCACTTTAGCGTTTCTGGAGCTGGTACTGGCTAGTGTTGCTGGGACGGTTCTGGCAGGAGGGCGAGCAGAGTAGAACCTAGCAGGAGGGCGGCTGGTGACAGCAGGCTTGGACACCTGCGCAGATCTATCTGACACTGACTTGGACCTTGTCGGCACAGGTTTTTGTGCGATATGCCTGGGAAGGTCAGCGACAGATTTGGACCTGCGTTTGGTTGCATTTCCAACCCTTTGGTGCTCTGTTTTAGCTGCTGCAGGTTTGGGATCTGCCATGGCAGTGGTGCTAGCTGATTTCCAAATTGACCCAATTTTTGACTGGACAATCTTGCCTTTGTACATGCCGAGAGCTGATTTTGATGATGGCACAGGGGCTGGGGGCTTTGGAGCTTCAGCAACTATTTTTTTGTGCCTCACAGCCTGTTCGGTGAGGAAGGCTCGGCTGTGTGTTTGTTGTTGTTTGACATTAGCAGCAGCAGCAGTGGCTCCCTTTCCATCTTTCTGCACAGTCTTTTTCAGAACATCAACAGGCGCTGACTTTGTGTCTGCCTTGGCTTTAAGGGGGCCGTTTACTGCCAAGATTTCCTCTTTCTTGTTTGTCAGTTGGAAGGGAGTAACAGACGGTTTGTCTCTTCTGATTAAAGACTTGCTTCCATGAACAGGCTGAGCATTTTCCTTGTTTCCCTAAAACAAGAAGAGCATTATGTAGGTGGAGCGTGGGCTAAAACAATGAATGTAGTTCACATGATATTCAGTGATGGTAACTTACTTTCTTATAGGTGTGGTTTCGTCTTGAAACGGCGACGTTTTCCATGGTGAAGCCTCGACCACGTCAGAGTAATGGGTATTTCTGAAACAAAGTAATTACGTTAGGTCGTAACTGTTAGTAACTAAGCTGGGTCATTAGCGTTAGCTTGCATCATCTAGCATGCTGGGGGTAAACTGTCAAAACTTTGTGACAACATTTCACTCTAAGTATTAGCAGTTTTCATGCGTTTTTCCTTTTACATTTTGAGAGAACATCATATACTCTTTATCTAGTTTCGCGTGAACTTTGTGCACACAACTTAACGTTAGCTTACATGACGATAAACGCGATAAAACGTTAATGTCAGCGGGACGTTAGCCGTTAGCAAAATGCCAGCTAGTGTGCTGGCTTTGTCTTTATCTTTATTTAATCAAAGTTAAAAATAAATGTTAACTCACCCTTGTGTGGTCCTTTGTTGTGAGTTACAACAGGAGGAGAAAGCACAACTCCAGAGCAGTTTACGCCGTTTGTTTCTCTGCGGAAAAATATTCGATTTGACTTGGCGCTGCTGCTCTGCAATTGGTTACCGTAGTATCGCGACAGAACGAAATCAACCAATAGGATGCCTCGAAACTGAAAACGAGAACTGGAGAAGACTACGTCATTTCTTTCATGTCACAAGTTTTCATGCCTTCTTGTTTGAATGTTTGAAACCAAATAGGATTCCTCTGATACCGGTCCATGCAAACAGTTTCTCCACACACGCCCCATGCATGACGGCCCTGACAGCCTCTGTGAGTGGAAAACAAACCACAAATCATCATCAGGGACACAAGGTCAACAAAAACAAATATTTTCAGGAAACAGTGCATATTTACATCATGTTGCTATAATGTAAATAGAGTGTAGAAATGAACTACACTCACTGTTTTATAAGGTCAGCACAAGGAAATTAAATATCTAAGGTAATATTTTTCTGCACAAGTAGGCAAATGCAATTACATGTTTTAATACTACTACTACTATTAATAATAATAATATAAAGAAAAGCGTGTGTGTCATTTTTTTAAAATAAAACTTTACTGATCAAATTGCATGTCACTCATTTTGACAGTAAGAATAACCACAATGCAAAATTAAAAAAAAAACATGCCTGGGGGGTTAAGAGCATAATAAAAAAAGACAAAAGAAAGAAACTAAAGGCACATTTAAGGCCCATCTACTATGATATTATAGCCCAGTGGCTCCCAACTGGTCCAGCCACAGGGTCCAAATTTCTCCTTAGTCATTAGTTTGAGGTCCCACAGATTAATGCATGCAGCATCGTGCTTGCGTTTGGCCATGTTGTCGAGCTAGTTTTCTGTCTCTGTCATGTAGCTGTCGGTTAGTCACTCACTCTACAGCAGAAAATGGCACTTCAAAATTTGACTGTACAAATGAAGTTTGTGAGGCAGAATGGGCCCACGACTCACTTTTGGACCGCGACCCATTAGTTGGGAACCACTGGAGTAGATGGTTTAAGAATCCCGACAGATATGCAGTCAGCACTTTTTATCCATATATATATATACTGTATACACATTTTATATTTCTTAATCTTTAATTTTCTTCTACTCAAGCAACATTGTCACCCTCTTTTTTTCTGTCTGTGCTGTCTGTAAGTGTGGGATTAATAAAATTTTATCTTATCTTATCTTATCTTAGCACACAACTCATAGATGAAAAACAAGTGTCTCTTGTATCCAGTGTTGAGGAGCAACTATTTAGACGGCATGTAACTAGTTGTAGTAATTAAATTACATAATAAATGTAGCTATAATCAGTTACAATTACTGAGAAAACATGTATAATTAAATACAGTTACTAATCAAAATGTTGATGATTACAAAAGGGTTACATTCAACTATAATTTGTACAGTAAAATGTTCATATGTAGAGTATAACATCCACTACGAAGGAATATCTTCTTTTGGCATAGCCTTTTTCCAGACATTTCTCAGCTTTATTGCCCAGTTTAAACAGTTGTCTGAAAAGTAATCAAATGTAATAACTTGCATTACTTTGATGAGGTAATTAAATAGTTACATTACCTAGTACATTTTAACAGGGTAACTTCTGATCTGTAACCTATTACGTTTTAAAAGAAACATTTCCAACACTGCTTGTATCCAGATGAGATCACATCACCTTATTCATCACATGCCATATACAGTTTATTATGGCCTTTGGTTTGTAAAGTTACACTTCTGAGGATAAAATTTTGCAGGAATAAACAAGAGAGTATGATAAATTTATTTTCTTAAAATGTCGTGTCACAGGTAAGTGTATCATTATTTATGAACTGAGGTTAACTTCAAGAGCTGAAATATGTCATGGCATGTTTCCAACCATCGGGCTTTGAAAAGACTGCAAAGTATTATGGGAAAGAAGCGAAGCGCGCGCTTTAATGCACGTTGTTAAACACATCACGTTTCACAAAACTGTTTTAACACGCAAGCGAATTAGCCTTCAAAATAAAATCTAAATCACAATCTAAAACAAGAAGCATGCACGATATCGTTTGTCGGTGGCCTTTGGAAACAAGTGTTTTCGCTTATAAAAAATAAAAAATACAGTACACATACAGAAAGAGATATATGTTAGCTACTCAAACACGATGCATTTTTATTTTGAAAGTGAACACCGGAAGTTACCCTGGTGTTGACCGTTACTTAACAGCTAACAAGCGTTAGCAACACAGTTGGCTATCCTCAAAAGGATTTCGCCGCGGGAAACGAGTATATGATACAAAAATAAAATTGTAATGCAGAATCACTGCGCTGTTCCGAACTGTGCTAGTGGCAAATCCGGCCCGCAGCCACTCTTCAGGTTTCCGCAAGATCCAGAAAGGTAACTAATGCTAATGCAGATGCTAAAGCAAACAGGAAGCTCTCGAGCTACCCCCGAGCAGACAAGCTAGATCCAGGGTCCTGTAACTTTGAATACTGCGTGCGAAATTAGTTTCACCTGTGCTTTCTCTGCTACGACAAGTCAAGACATGCTGTTAATGTTATTCCCAGTGCAAAGTATTGGTGTATTGTCTTCTTCACTTGCTAACGTTACTTTGTTGCTTTAGTGGGCCCATGTCATTGGTTCGACATCCCATTAGTCCGACTGTCCGCGGTGCCGAACGGCTCGCGGCGGGCGTATGGTGCGCCGCGACCGGCATGAGGTGGAGCAGGCTCACGGCTTATGTATTTGTCAGTTTCTTTTTCATTTTAACCCACACCATGATCTTTTCCTGACCCTAACCAAGTGGTTTTTGTGCCTAAACCTAACCAGACCTTAACCACAGGGCATCATGATGATTTCGGAACGGACCTCGGAACAATGAGTTTAATATGGTCGGAACAATGGGTTTAATATGGTCGGAACAATGGGCAGTTCCCGCTTTAGTGACTTAACGTGTTGATGTATGTACCTAGCACCATGAACACATGTATCCATTCAACCCTTGCGTAGTCACTGCATCTTCAGTAACATGCATTTGTGAATTAAACGAGGCTCACTTAATTGCTGATCCATTTGAACTACTGTGCTGCATTACAATATGTTTAACAGTCAGCAGGAGGTGTGTTTTATAACAGATCATGCTATTTATACACCATTGCCCCACTAAGCCACAACATAGACAGGTGTCACCAGCCACTCATTTATAAGATTGTTTAATACACTTTTATGCTTTTTATGTACTCTTTATCACCATATTCTCAGACAGTGTTGCTAGTAATTAAAAACCTCCAACTCATAACTTCTATTGACTTTAAACCTTGTTCTCATTTTGGTGAACCATCTCCTTTCAGGTCCAAGAAGTGGGTTGAAAAATGCCAGAGGCCAGAACTCATAGACAAATCACCAGACCAGTTGTACAGATACTACCGAGTGTGTGGAAAACATTTTGAAACAGCATCGGTTGATAGTGTAAGTAATGTTTTTAAAGTACATAATTTAGTACCACATTGCAGACGACAATGTGACCCTAGACCAAGGGTTGGCAACTTTTACTTTCAAAAGAGCCATATTTGGCCAATTTGAGCCTCTTAATAAAAGTAACACAGCCTTTCGAATCGAATTTAGCCAATCAACATTACTAATAGAGCTAAGTGAGCATTTGCCTGGAATGCAGCATTATTTCCACATGATTTTCGGTCAAAGCCACTGGGGACCACTGGAGAGGGGCTAAAGATCCGCATGTGGCTCTGGAGCCTCAGTTTGCCCCTGCCCTTGACTTTGCAGTGCTTTTTTGCCAATCTTCAAGTAAAATGTGAAAAGGATTTAACCCAGCCCTGCATATTATTTCACAGATTATTTAGTTAATACAATATATTGTGTAGTGGCTAAGTGAATATGTAGATAAATAAGGTTTTGAGATAAGTTCAACATAAGAAATAGTTTTTATTCAGTCTTTATATTTACTGTCTTCATATTATATATCTTTATACTGTCCTTAGTCTTTATATTTACTATTTTGAACTTTTCTGGCTTGTCTTTGTTTTCAGGACGCTCAGAGTACAGTACTGAAGGATGATGCAGTGCCAACTGTCTTCGATGTAACAGGCCAACCTCAAAACGGGCAAGTGAAGCGCAGCAAAGAGACGGTGGGGAAAAAGAAATCTTAATTCATGAAAATGGGGAAAATATTTTGTGTAATTTGATTAATGTAGTTTTTATATAAACACCTTTTTACTTTGACAATTTTTGTAGACCAAAGAGAATGAAACGAGCAGTAAGGGGAGAAAAAGTAAGTCGAAATATTAACACACACATATATTACTCAAAAATGAAAGTAATGGCTCCCACACCCACATTAATCACTAGATAAATGTGCAACTGTTTCTCTTTTCCTTTTTAGAAATCAAAAAGACAGCTAAAGAAGATGTCAAGACACTCCCCCAGGAGGAGGAAGACAAAGAGTATCTTAAGTCATTATTTGAAGTTGTTGTACTGCTGGGAGAGCAAAACATTCCTCTGACAGGGCCTGGTGATAATAAACAGGATAGCCTTGTGTCGAGCAACTTTCAGTCTCTGTTAGAATATCGCATGAATTGTGGAGATGAAGCCCTTAAGAAGAGGTACGACATGAATCAGGTGTGCTGCTCATCAGCTCAGCTGAATCAGTTGATCGAGGTGTGCGAGAGATACATCCGCAGTAAGCTGTTGGAGGAAGTTAAACAAAATGGCTGTTTCTCATTACTTACTGATGATTTGGTAAAGATCTCAGGAGAATGGTACCTCCCCGTGTTTCTCCGTTATGTGGACCAGTCTAACTACCAGCAGGAGAGGTTTGTTGGATTCTTATCCTTTGAAGGAGATGGAGCAGACTTTGCAGAGAAAATGCTGTCTGAAATGACTGAAAAATGGGGCTTGGATATGGAACAGTGTAGAGGTCAAGCCCACTCCTGCTCTGGGACACATTTTAGTAAAATGAAAACATTTGCTGCCAAACTGATGGAGAGGTACCCGATGGCAGTGCTGATGCTAAGATCTACTCATGCATTGAACCTCTCACTGGCAAATGGTATGGCGTTGTCAGGGGTTCAGCTTGTTTTGTCTACCTTTAAGAAGATTGAGTCATTCTTCAGTCAGTCCCCTTTGCTGCAGTTGGAGTTGGAGCACGCCATTTCGATTTTCTATGCGGACAGAGAGGAGAAGGCCAAGGAACTGAAGGAGATTTGTGGAACCAGCTGGACCAGACGGCAAGATGCGTTTGAGGTGGCAGTGGAAATCCTAGAGGCGTTGCTGCTGTGTGTGGACAGTGTTCATGACAACGAGGACATGAGGTGGAACGACCAAGTCACACACACTGCCTTAGAGATTTCAAAAGCACTGGCTGATTTTGAGTTTGTCATGGCGCTGGTGGTGCTGAAAAACGCTCTGACACTTACACAAGCATTTGGGAAGAACCTGCAAGGGACGGGAGCAGATGCCCACTTTGCTGCAGCCAGTTCAAAAGCTGTGTTGCACTCTCTGAAGGAGGTGTCTGACAACATCGATGTGTATCATGAGTTCTGGAACGATGAGGCCGTTAATCTAGCTGCTGCGATGGAGATCCCAGTAAAGATTCCTCGGTCATTCTTGAGAAAGTACCAGTCAGAATGTCGAGCCATTCGGCCAGAAATTCACTACAAGGATCACCTGTCTGTTCCAGTGGTGCAGCACATAATCAATGAAGTGAATGAACTCTTCTGTGAGGACCACCTGAAGGCTCTGAGATGTCTGTCGCTGCTCCCTGCCGTCATAGAGCCGCATAAGTCAACAGAACCTGAGGAAGAGAGCGTACAAGTGTTTAAAAATGACATCCCCAATGCAGGAACCCTCTCCGCTGAGCTGCACTGTTGGTGGGTTAAATGGAGCAAAAGAGGCAAAGGGGAGAGTCTGCCCTCCAGTCTCCACGAAACACTGCAGCTGGCTGACGTGAAGTTCTTCCCAAACATGCTCGCAGTTCTTAGACGGATCGGCATCCTGCCTACCTTGGCTCTGGAAGACAGCTGTGATGTGGCGTACAAGCGCTTCCAGATGTACATGGAGAACACACCTGACAAATTCAAATCAAAAAGTCTCGCTCTTTTGAACATGAACGCTGATGTTGGGTATGACCTGGATTCAATGGTTGAGCTCTACATGAAGACATACCCTGACAGGGAGGATGTGTCTTAAGTCGGTTGTAATGTGGTAGTTAAGCCTGCAGACAGATTATCCACAGCTTTGATAAAGGGTAAGTACCGGTATGGTATTTTTCAGCTTGGACCCTATTTTCCCATGTTTTTGTGTTGAAGTGAGTAATGGCATCAACAATTTTTAAAATCAGTCTAGTGTAACTTGAGACAGCTGCAGACATCAACAGTGAAACAGGCTGCAGTGTAACCACTCCGGGCAGGTTCGCATCGTCAGTTTAAGTTCAATAAAAGTGCTTGTATTTGCCACTGACGGGCTCTGATTGTTATTACAAGTGTCTGACAATTTATGGGAAAAAAATCCATCCAGCTCCTTTGTGCCGAAAGGGGTCAGTTGAGGTGGTTCGGGCATCTGATCAGGGTGCCTCCTGGGCGTTTCAGGCATATCCCACTGGTAGGAGGTCCTGGGGCAGACCCAGAACACGCTGGAGGAATTACATATCTCATCTGGCCTGGGAACACCTTGAGGTCCCCCCCAGAGGAGCTGGAAAGCGTTGCTGGGAAGAGGGATGTCTGGGGCGCTTTGCTCGACATGCTGCCCCCACGACCCGGCTCTGGATAAGCGAATGAAAATGGAAGGATGGATTGAAGATTCGAACTAGGGGTGTAAGTGATCACAATACAATACTATATTGATTCTTTAAACAACAATATGGTATATGCCGATATCCCAAGGTCTGCCACAATATGATTTCAATTCAGGGGTTGCGATCAATATGAGGTGATATCAGTAAATATCCTCATTGTCTTTTTCTTGGCTGCTTACCATTCTCTGCATGGTGCTAGGCCACTAGCACTGTGAAATGTTTAAGAACAAGGTGTCCATGGATGGAAATGGTGACAGAAGTACCATGGGAATTTCAAAATAAAGGTGTATCTTAAAGATGATGATATGAATCGATGTTTTCATTATGTATTGATCATTAATCATCGTTGCACTACTAGTGGGAACATGCCCTGAGTGGTTACGTAGCAGCCTGTTTCATCACTGCCAGTTGCAGAGCTCTTGCTCAGTACTGGATCAAAAAATTGTTGCTCCCATTAGCCACCCAGACTCAGAAACACAGGAAAACATGGTCCACATTGAAAAATACCAAACTTACCCTTTAATGAATCAGACATCTTTTGTTGTTGGCCTTTTGTTGTTACTTTCTATCCATCATGCTGAAGTACCATCTTTTATAGCCTGTTTATGTTTTTGTGATAAAATGTAGATAAATGTAAATAGAAAATACTGGCCTGCAGTGTCATCAAGTCAGTGATAAACACCAGACATGTTTCAATTTCGTTTTTGCTGTACTTGTTCTCCATGCTGTTGTCATATTATATTTTGGGAGCCAGTATTGGCCACTCTGTTACCACCTGTAAACTGCTTGAATGTGAGTCTTGATTCCTTATATCCAATGATGATGATGTCCATTCCTCGAGTCCTTTGTTGGAATAAGTTGCAAATTGTTCATGTTTGAAGAGTGGGAGTTAATACTCATGTAAGCCTTGTTGAAGTGTTTTTGCTGTGTCACCCACTGATCTGCTGGCGCGTAACAAGTGGATAAAGAGGATCAGCCGGAAATTCTTCTAATGGGTTTAATAGCCATTTATGGTCATTCTTAATTTTTTCTTTTTTCTTCATGTTTTCCAAGTCTGTTAGAAACAAATCTTAAAATAGCAACACAGAAACTGAACCAGAATAGTAGTGAGGTAATTTAGATTATTACATTTTTGTCTTCTGTCCAAACTAAGACAGATTTTTTCTTTCAAGACATATTCAGAATTGGGACTGGTGCAAGGTGGTAATGACAGCCAATAAGTACAACCTGGTTTGTGCCTAAAATGTGTAGGAATGTGTCCTGACTATTAATCAAGTTTAGACTTCATAGTGAGTTGTTGTGTTAAGGACAAAGTAGCATGAGGTTCAGCGTCCTGTGAATAAGGCCACAATTCTATCCATCTTGCACTTTGGCTAGTGTGTCTGAGAATGGAGTGGATGCTTGTGGCCAAACAGCTGAGTCACTGTCTGCTCTGAGACTCATATTTCCACTTTTAGTGTTTGGTGTTAATGAAATCTGAAATGATTGAAAACTAAAACTATTTAGACTACAGACACGATTTGCTACAGAGGACAAAAAGGTAAAAAAGAGATGCTTTTTTGATTAAAAAATGCCAAATAAATTCCTTTAACTGTCATAATCTATTGTTTTTCATACATTTAATGACACGTGTCGAAAGGGACATCATTACAACCTTTCATCGGCAGCTATAAAAAATGTATGAATGACAAAATATGCGTAGATTGCTCAGGTTTTAGAAAAGTATGTTTTTATGACTTGGATGCATTTGTTTTCTTGTGTATAATAAAGCTATAAAATGATTCAGCTGCTTCATCTCTTGCTTGAGTTCGACCCTTTTCACTGAAGACATTTTATACTACCACTGCTGTGATTAATCACCCTGTGCTCCAGTTCCTGGACCCTGACTGAGCAAGACTCTTTAGGTCTTGTGTGTTTTTCACTTGCCATTGTAAGAAGGAAAGGACACTGACAGAAGGAGGACTGATACTAGGAAACAATGAATTTTTATATCAGAAAATTGTATTTTTTTTTTTTTTTTTTTAAAGGGACAAATTTAATAAGTGAGTAATTACTCTGTAGGGTCCAGTGAGTGTACTCGTTCTTTTCTGCCAAGACATGTTAACAGAAATAATTAAATGGATGATCAGAGAGATTTAAATGGTCTACTGAGACATAGATAGGGTGTGTTGAGCATTCAGGGTCTATTGGGTGCAACAGTAACAATAAAATTAACAAAATTAACTTAAGTGTAAAGAACAGGAAGCTGAAAATCCAAATCAGAGAGTATCAAGACAAAACGAGCAGTACTGAAACTGTGAGAGCTGTATGAGCTATGTCAAAAGTTTCTGTGTCGTGCTTGTGTAAAGACAAGTGTGATATAATCAATGAATACTGATCAAGATTCTAAACTCAACAAAAGTTGCCATGCATAGCATTTCTATGAAATCACAAAGTTACTGTGTTTCTTTTTGCAAAGATTTGTTTTTATTAACAGAAGCTCAAATTACAGTGCAGGAGCAGTTCCAGAAATGTCTTTGCGGTTGGTTACATCCAAAGAAGTTATTGTGTTTCTTAAGCAGTCAAAACAACAAGAGCATGTCCATTAATATATAGCCTATTAAAAAACTAAATTGAAAAATGTTATAGCAAAAAATAGCTTGAACGGCACATATGTTTATTGTGTAGCCTACATAAACATACACACATAAAAGTCAGTGGCAAAGATTTCCTTTATCTGTCTGTGCTTTGCTGTCACAAGGACAGATAAAGGAAATGTTGCCTGTCCAAAGCAATAACTCTGTACACCACCTCACCTCTCTCTAACAGAGAGCTGTCAGCTTTATGGTTTTCTGTCCCAACTCCACCGTGTTTTTGCCCTTCAATAACCTTGCACATGGAAATTTTGCACATCTTGTTCCCCTGATCTACTGGGATTTTCACATACAACCATCTCTAGAGTTCACAGATGATGGTCTGAAAAAAAGACAATATCCAATGAGCCAAAATGGCTTGTTGATGCCAGAGGTCAGAGGAGAATGGCCAGACTGGTTCAAGATGATAGAAAGGCAACAGTAACTCAAATAACCACTGGTTACAACCAAGGTCTGCAGAAGACCATCTCTGAACCAACAACATGTCCAACCTTGAAGCAGACGGGCTACAGCAGCAGGAGACCACACCAGGTGCCACTCCTGTCAGCTAACAACAGGAAACTGAGGCTACAATTCACACAGGCTCACCAAAACTGGACAATAGAAGATTGGAAAAACGTTGCCTGGTCTGATGAGTCTGGATTTCTGCTACCACATTCAGATGGCAGGGTCAGAATTTGGTGTAAACAACATGAAAGCATGGATCCATCCTGCCTTGTGTCAACAGTTCAGGCTGGTGCTGGTGATGTAATGGTGTGGGGGAGATTTTCTTAGTACCAACTGAGCATGGTTTAAACACCACAGCCTACCTGAGTATTGTTGCTGACCGTGTCCATCCCTTTATGACCACAGTGTTCCCATCTTCTGATGGCTACTTCCAGCAGGATAACGCACCATGTCACAAAGCTCAAATCATCTCAAACTGGTTTCTTGAACATGACAATGAGTTCACTGTACACCAATGGCCTCCACAGTCACCAGATCTCAGTCCAATAGAGCACCTTTGGGATGTGGTGGAACGGGAGATTCACATCATGGATGTGCAGCCGACAAATCTGCAGCAACTGTGTGATGCTATCATGTCAATATGGACCAAAGTCTCTGAGGAATGTATCCAGCACCTTGTTCAATCTATACCATGAAGAATTAAGGCCGGTTCTAAAGGCAAAAGGGGTCCAACCTGGTACTAACAAGGTGTACCTAATAAAGTGGCTGGTGAGTGTATATATAATTTTTCTATTTGTTGTTGCATTTTCCTGTCAAGAGTGGTATGAGTATTGCTGTTTGTTTACTGCTTTAAATTTTAATCTGTTGGTGTAACAAAAGAATGTCCTAAATTGGGGTCAATAAAGTACTATATCCATCTGTTTCGTCACACTGACACAATAATTAATCGTCAGATATGCTAACAAGTACATTAGTTGATGCTTGCATGGTGCATATCACTAAATTTTAAAAGGAATTAGCACAAACCAGTCGACACAGGGCGGTTACAATGAATCAGGAAGTGATTTATCTTGACAATGAAACTCTTTGGCCGGAGCCGACGGTGCCATCCTGCCCTCTGCTGGTCAACGTGTTGCACTGCACGGTCCAGTTCCTGGTTGATGGGATAACACGCTTTCGGCGACTCTTGGCTCACCACGCAACATCAACTTTTAAAAGCATGGAATTAGTGGGTTCTTAGTTCACCAAAGAGACGTTAAGCGAGAACAACCTTGAAACCCAACTGTGTCGGTTGCAGATTTCGCCCGAGGCATGACTCTGTAGACTCTCCTGCAGGTTTGCTCACAGTAGGCTTGCCAGCTTGCAACCGCCAGCTAAGCTAGCTAACTTGCTAGCTAGCATCATTGCAGTCCAAAATGACTGACTGCTGCGCCGCAGCGAACTGTGATTACCAGCAAGGGGGATCCGAAAACTCCCCTCCACTCTTCAGCTTCCCTTTGGACCCGGAGCGGTAAGAGTTGTGCTTATTTCATTGAGATGTGGGTGTAAAAAAACGAGCCAGTGAGCATGCAGAATGAATGTGTTAGCTATCCACTGTTAGCACTGGCGTTAGCTTAACATCATGTTGGCTAACAGTGACACAACTCTGTCGAAAATGGCGCAGACTAACGTTACTCTTGAAAGAAAAGTCCGTGTGAAACAGACTCCGCTCACTCATTCAGCCTCGGAGACCGACACTGACTCATGATATTAGCTGGTGTCCGTTTGTCTTTGTGTTCAGGTGTGTCTCAAACCGACAGAAACCATAGTTTAAAACTTTTTGTGCTGTAATTTAAATCGCCATCGGTATACACGACACCTACCGTCTCCACAGTGCGGTAACATTAGTAGGAAAACTGATGTTAGCTTAGCAAAATAAAAACACCTCCTATTTATAGAGCTGACTTTGCGTTATTGTTGCTTTTGCGTACAAAATTGCGTTTATAAAGTGGAGTCAGTTTGCAGCACAGCGTACTGTGGATATCAATAGAAACTAATATAAACGTAGTTTTAACAGGTGATGTCCCTATGAATAAATAGCAGTCTAGCGCCCCCTTTATCAGACCTCCTCACTGGCTCTGTTCACGCTTAGATTCCGGTGCTATTGTGCAACCATAGGAGTGATGTGTTGTACAAAAATCTATGCAACACAAGTAATTTTTAAGGACTGTGATTGATTGACAGCTGCAGTTGAGCTGGCTGAATCACAGCTGACGAAATGCAAACCTCCCAGCCAAGACTTATAGATCACCAAAATATTTCACGTCCAGTCCCTGCAATGATTTTTTTCTCTTCCTCTCCTTTTGCACTCTGTGCTCGTTTATAATCTGTCACCAGCCTGATATTGTGTTAAATTTAGAGAGGTAAATCTCATTTGCTGGTGGGCAAATCCATCCAGCCTCATTCTGTGCATGCATCAATAAAATCAGCTGAGAGGGAGAGGAGGAATTTGTGTTATGAGAGCAAAGAGCTTGTGAAGTGGTGAAGGCTTTTTAGCAAGATGTTACAACTTGGTACCTGTTTTATTAGCGCCAGCACTGAGGCAGGGTTTTGTTACAGATGCAGCTAATTAAAGCAGAATTGTATAAATCAAATCCATGTTATTGTTGCAGATATGACCTCTTTATCATGCGTGATGTGGTCACGCTCAGGGCTGCACAGTTAATTGAAATATTATCAGAATTGTAATATGGCCAAATGCAATAACCAAACAGCAGGAGGTGCTATTTTTTAATGTGTCACAGTTACCGTAATAGATTAATTGAGATGAACAGATGATTGTGGTGCTGCAGAGATGAATGAATGCATGAATTCCCAATTTAATATTTAAATAATAAACAACAATCCCCAATCTATCTACCACCTTGTTAATAAATAAGTAATAAACCCAGTTTATTTACAGTCCAAGTACCACCCAGTGTTACAAAAAAATATGCACTCCCCTAACACAACCTTTCCTTATCTATATATCTGCCACAAATATGTTTTTTTGTAAAGTTTTTTTAATTGGTTTATGTATGTGCTTTGTTTCAACTCATCATGCAGCTCGTTCCACAAGCCAACCCCATACAGGCCCCAGCCTTCAAATGATATTCCAGATGTAAGCAGGGTTGGAAATTAACTTTTTGTCCACATGCCACTGTGTCTGGTGGATTCCAAACTTTACCAGCCACTCAATAGATTACAATAGATTAATTTCCAACCCTGGATGCAAGGGAACGTGCTTGTTTGATACAGACTCTAGCAAAAATCACACCACCACCATCATTTTTATAATTTTTTTAATTAAAAGATAAATGAAATTACCATTCCCGAAAAAAAATGCAAGGCAATTGCATTATTTGTAAAATAATCAAAGTACGATATATATTTTTTTCTTTTTCATATCGTGCAGCCCTAATGCATAATGCAAAATGTATTTGAACTAGTATCTCCACATAGCAATTTGCACATTTAGTAAAGCGAGTTCGTGAGTTAACAGAACTCCTTCTGCACAGCCAGTCTCAAGGATCAGGTGTCGGTCGGCTGCAGGAACATCTAAGATAAAATCGTGAACATAAACCACTGCGCACCGAACTGAATTGCTGTGATTTTATTAAGAGCGAACAAAGCGTTTCGCCCATGGCTTCTTCAAGCTTGCTCAACAGGATCACACGAGCACT